CAAGATAGCCCTGATCGCCGTTCGTAGTACGGCATCTATTGTTCCAAGAAGCCCCTTAATGCGACATGCTGATGTCTCACCTAAGCTCCCAGCTTTCTCGATTCCTGGGTACCAGGCCTCCAGGCCATGTGTGAGAATAGGAATAACACAAGCTTTCACAGCCCTCTTGGTTGACTTTACTGGAAGTCCTTTGACTGTGTTGCATAGTCCTCGAAGGTGATTTGCTACCCTACTAGCTTTCTTGGCCCAGTAAGAAACATGGTCTTTGAAGTTTAGTTTCCTATCCAGAAGGACACCTAGCCATCGCATGGAATGCTTAGCTGTTTTGTTCATTGTTCCGTGGCAAACTGGGGGATTGTCTGAGTTCTTTTTGCGTGAGAAGTGCATGATCTCGGTTTTGTCGGGATCAAATTCAATAGCATTGTTATGTCCCCATTGGTTGAGTAAATGAAGGTTTTCAGAAGCCTCTGTAGCTGTTTCTTCAAGGTTCTTTCCAATGCAGAGTGTTGCTAGGTCATCTGCATATCCAAAGCGTCTTCTTTTCATGCCAAGTCGGGCACAGATTGGCTCTGTATACAGCATGTAGAGGATTGGAGAGACTGGTGAGCCTTGTGGGAGCCCACAAGTGAGAGCTTTTATATCGGTCACAGTACCTTCAAACCGAACTCTTGCGGACCGCTCGGACATGAACGACTGGACCCATCTTATGAGAAAGCCTGGCCAGCCCTGTTCTCTCATGCGAACCACCAGCCGTCCCATTAGGGCAGCATCAAAGGCCCCTTTCACATCTGATGTGACTACCGTTGCAACGAGGCCTTGGTCAAGGGCCTGCTCAATATCGTGTATGAGTGCAGCTACCAGGTCAGTGGCAGAGCGCTTTGGTAGAGCTCCAAAATGTTGTGGGGCTAGAATTCCAAGTTTGACAACAAACCAGGTAATTCTTTTCGCAATGAGTCGTTCTAGGCCTTTGCCAAGACATGACAGTAGCGATATTGGTCTGTAGGCCCTGGGATTGGAGTAGTCTTTCTTTCCTGGTTTTGGGATCATCACCACCTCAGCTACTTTGAATGGTTTAGGGTGGTGTCCAATCAGTAGGCAGGTCTGGAAAAGGGCTCTGATATGTTCACCAATGACTGGCCAGCAAGCTTTCAGAATCCGTACTGTGAGGGTATCTACTCCCGGGGAGTTGCTCTTGGTTCCTAAAGTGCACCCTTCAGCCTCTTCCAGTCCGACGTGGTATTCAAGGGGGATGTATGGCTTGGGTTGTATGATCTGAGCGGACCAGGGGTCGATGATATCGTTGTCTGAGGTACTTCGTTCAAGCGTGGCTGAGCGTAATGCATTTGCCTTGCTCTCTTGTGACTCGAATATTTGGTCTCCTATGATGATTGGAGGGGAACGCAATCCTGCTGATAACTTGTGCCAAGAGACGATTCTGTATAGGTCCTTTGGCTCAGTTGCTGAATTGATTAGAGTCTGCCAGTACTCTCTCCTAGCTTTCCGAACCACGCCGCGAAATTCCCGTCGGGCTGAATTCCGTCCTTCGTGGCTTGTAGTCTGTTTGGAAAGGGCCCTGTATGTCTGAACAGCTGCTTTGCAGTCATCATTCCACCAAGCAGTGGGCCTAGATTGACGGGGCCTCTTGCCCACTGTCCTAATACAGCCTTGGATCATGTTGATCAGGCTTTGTGTAAAGGTGTCCACCTGGCCAGGGGATGCACCCAGCTGGGGGAGTTCATGAATCCTGGTTTGGACATTATCTGCCAGCTCCTGTAGTTTATCGTCCGGTACTATCCAATGATTGGCCTTGGGTACTCGGTCCAGATCTCCCTGGATTGGAATGACTATTCGTAATGTCTCATGATCTGAGGTGCACTGAAGTGCATCATTGACTGAGGCTTCAGCCATGGGGACATCAGAGAACACCAGATCTAGTACATTTCCGTCATCATGTGTCGGGACATCTGGTTCAGAAATCAGATCCAGTCCGTGGTCTGCCATAGTTTGTGCAAGTATAGTACCACCATGATATCCTGGATTGCTTGAGTCCCAGGATGTGTCGCCAGCATTGAAATCTCCAGCTATAACGCAGCCAAAAGGTGGAGTCCATACTTCCAGAATGTCATCCACTTCCTGTGGGTTGTCACATGGCCGGTAGACACTGGCAAATGTAATGCCTTGTACCTTGACCCAGGTGATGTCTCGTGTAGCATAGGGCCGAAGTTGATCCGCTTGAAGGTATTTTCTCACATAGATGAGAGATCTGGGCCGTGTACTGTCGCTGTCCCAGGAATCCACTGGGGAGTATATATCGTAATTGGGGTGTGTCTTTACTCCCATTCTCCTGCCTGGTGGTATGCCAACCCAGGGCTCTTGTATCAGAATGATGTCTGCTTGTTCTCCTTTATAGTCAGCCAGATTGATGGCTAACTCTGTAGGGCCTGCACTCTTTTGTCCCCCTGCTGTATTCACAGAATGGATGACTAGATGCCCGTGTCGATGTGTTTCGTTTGATGTACCTAACATTGACTGACAACAATGGTATCGGCATCTCTGGGATGAGTTGTATCTGTTGTGTCGATTTGCATTGTGGTGTCTTTGTTATTATTGCTAGGTGTTGACCCAGCTTGGTTTCTGCCTGCTTCGTTGAAGGCCTTGGATCTGGCTCTTTCTCCGGCTAGCCTTATTTCCTGGATTTGCTCCCATGTGTGCTTATGGATGGTACCTTTCACAACCTTGGGGCGGGCAGGGCATTTGTCGAAGTTGGCAGCATGAGGTCCTTTGCAGTTGACACACTTTGGGATTGGTTTTTCGCACTCTCCCTGGTGTACTGTGTTGGCGCAGTGTGCACATACTTGCTTTTCGCATCGGTAATTCCTACCATGGTATCTGAAGCAGCTTGCACACTGGTGAACCTTGGGGGTGTGTTGAATATGCCTTGAGGTCATTGAGTGGGCAAAAAGCGTGAATGGTTTCCTTGCTGCACTGGGCAGAGAGATTATCCATGTAGTTTCTGGATCAGAATTAATCGTGTTCTTTGAGAGTATGCACCTCAGAGGTCTGTCGCCTGTTTGGGCTTCAACTTCATCGGCAACAACAGTGTCAGTAATATCGATTGTGAACCCTTCTGCACTGATGACCTTTCTTGGGCATCCATTGACCTTGTAATGATGCCAGACTGTGTGGGTCTCAATCTTTTGTGCCTTGAGAATGTCGGCAATTTCTTCTTGGAAAGCCAGAAGCTTAGCCTGAGTTGGCTTGTCCCTTGGGTGTAAGGTAAAACCAGAAGGACATCGTGTCACTTCTCTAAGCTCCTGAGGGTGGAGCTTAAGTCTTCTGTTCAGTGTAGACTTGATTCCATAAGGCTCTAGGTGGCTATTATCCATGCGGACAAAGACCCGGAGATCATCCTGCTTCTTCTTCAGTTGGTTGGCAGTGATGAGGGCGCCAGGCTGTGTTTTCTTCATGGTAGTGTTGACTGTCCATGGATGCTGTCGTTGGCCAGAGGAGACAGCTTGGGCGAAGGTCATGGTGGGCTTCCCTATCCCTATCCCGCCAGGAGTGGTCTTTCTTTTGGGCAGATCTCGGGTTTCCAGCCACTCGTTCAGGCATTTGGAGAAGAAAGCGCTGAACTCCTTGGCATGAGAGTATAGTTCGGTTCCAGCTTTTTCCAGTGTCTTATCGACTGTTGCAGCACACTCTTGAAACATTGTCATCCTGGCTTCATAGAGATGCTTGTCTTTAGCCAGTATTTTGGCTACTTGGTCCTGGCACTTTGAGGAAGAGACCTTGTTCCCTGTATCGCCTCCAATGGCTTGGTCTGTAGAGATTTCGTTTGATTGAGGTACTTCCATATCAATGATGCTGCTAGTATTAATATTTCGGGATTTTCCTTTCAGAGGGGAAACAATGGTGAAGTCAGCCTCAGAGACTTGTGACGGGCTGCTGTTGATGTCGTCGAGCAGTGCCTGGCGGAGCTTGCTTGGGGTTGCCGGGCCATATGTTCTTTTAGGGACCGGGGATTTGAGCACGCCGCCAGTAGTCGTCTTTGGGACGGCCACTGGCGTATTTGGGGGCCTATCGTGAAGGGGTGCCATCCAGCTTGTGAGAAAAATTTTCTGCGCCTTGGCAAGGATAGTCAGGTACTGAAATAAATGCCTGTTTTAGTGCAGATATAGAGGTTGCGCCCTAACAGCGGGGCGCCAAGAAAAATAGTTGTTTTTGGTAAGAGTGTGTGTCCGACCTTGTTTGTGGGCGTTCTGCCCTTGGTTGTATGACCCGCAGCTCGTATTTCCCAGAGTGTCTACCCTTGCGATAATGAAATAGTCAATTATATATTGCATAACATCTTTTTAAATGACGGCATTCTCTCTGCACCCCTGGAACCCCGACCCATCAAGTGGTCTCGTAGATCCTTGTGAGTTCTCGGTAGTGATGGGAGCTCGCTCCGGTGTATTCTAGCTCCACTAGCAAGTTTTCTTTTGAGCCTCTCAAGGTCTGAAGATCCCTGGGGCAGTCTGATTTGTCCAGTTCCTGTACTATCAGTGTGTCGTTTTGGACGGTTTGCCATCCGGTGTCAAACAGCGTGTATTATGGTTGATCTTGTTGAGAGTGTGTATTCTGGTTGATCTTGTTGAGCTACAGGGCCCGAAATTGCCCTAGAACCCCTGTCGGTGCACCGCCACCTCCCTGAACACCACTGTGGCTTGCGTGCCATTTGACACACCCCTTTTAGACGACAGCGTCATCTAACCCATCTAATAAGGTCGGTTCAGGGCAGAATTCAAGGTCTCCGTGACTCGCAAAGCCACCCTCTTTTGCTAGTACGTCAGCAGCTTCGTTGCCATCGATATCTATGTGTCCAGGGATCCACTTGACGGTCACCCCAGGAGTGTGTGCTGTGGCGAGTTCTTGGAATCGTAGAAAAATGATCTGTGATGTCTCGGGTGGAGTCCCATACCTTGATGGGAGTGCTAGGCCCTGTTGGCTTGCAATACGACATGGTTATAGCCTTTCTCAACAGCAAGATTCCTGACGAGTACGAGATCTACTGTATGCAACCCCAGGGCTCCTCTGATGGAACCAAGCGCGTTTGGAAGCTCAACCAAGCTCTGTATGGCCCTCGCAAGGCTCCCCTGTGGTGGTTTGAGACCCTTGTCAAAGTCATGAAGGACGCTGGATTCGTCCCCATGTCAACAGAGATGTGTCTCTTCAAGCATGAGAAGCTGGGCGTACTGGTTCTTATCTATGTGGACGACATCCTGGTCGCTGGTCCTACCTTGAAGGATTGTACACGTTAATACAAAACAAACAACAAACAAACAAACTTGAAGGATTGTGAGACCCGTTCGTGACCTCTTGGCCGCTCACTTTGAGCTCAAAGGAGATGAGATTGATATCCAAGTTCCTTGGACTCCGAATTCGACGGAACCTTGATACGAATCGGGTGTTCATTGACCAAGAGGAATACGTCAAGAAGATTGTGTCCAAGTACGGCGAGGAGACCACCAAATACACGGGAACACCCTGGAAGACAGACACTGTGATTCCGCCTTCCTGGGAATCAGTTTCAGACGTTCTGAAGAAGCGTTATCTCAAACAGACTGGTTCCCTCAACTACGCCTCCACTAATACACGCCCTGACATCGTGAAGACCGTCAGCACGTTGTGTGAGGCCAATTCCAACCCTTGAAGACCCACTTGGAGATACTCAAGCATCTCTGGCGTTACTTGGCCAACACTGCGTCCTTTGGCATCACCCTGGGAGGAAAACACCCAATCGGCGACCGGAAGATCAGAATCTGGGCGGACGCTGCATTTGCAGACGTTCTAGGCTCCATAAAGTCAACAGGGGCGCATATCGCCTTCGTCTGTGGTGGTCTCATTTACTGGAAATCCAAGAAACAACTGCTTGTGGTCACCAGCAGTACAGAGGCAGAATTCATCAACCTCACGCCTGATCGTCTTACAGCCATCTGGATTGCCAAATTGCTGGAGGAACTAGGCTGTGGATCCCAAGCACGTGATCCATATCAGGTATCAGGCATGACCCCGCCAACAGGCAGTCGTCAGGTCTGCAGGGTTGCCTGGCCAGATGCCCATGGCAACAGGTATCTATTAGGCTACCAACAGGTATATAGATACATCAGGATGGGCTCCCTCCCATCCTGATCTTAGACAAGCACCCACCGATAGACAGACCAATCATAACCGAGACCTGTGATAGATCTGTTCGTTGGTGACGCTACCCAAAAGGCACAAGGCTACAAGCAACCCAAGCCAATGGTACCGGTACTTCACACGGATTCCGCAAATGCCAGAGCTAATGCTCTCAACCCTCTGAATGCAGCTAGAACCCGCCATATTGGTAAGCGCTACAAGTGTATCATCAACCGAGTCCAGATGGGATACTTCACGATCGTACAGGTGGGTACAAATGACATGATTGCAGACGGTTTGACGAAGCCGTTGAACAAGGAGAAGCATCAGGCATTCCTTAGACAGCTCGGATTGGGTTACTGCCAATGGTAGGCAACCCTTATTCTCATTTGTGGTTAATTTGCGCTGTTTCAGCAAGTCAGGACTATGGAGAGCCGTCTAAAAACACAAGTGATAAATATGATGAAAAGAGGTGAATGGGGGTTATCTTGCTATGAAGGCAGATTTCATGCTCAACACCAACAAATGTACGTATTATGGAGCCACATACAGTTGTGATGGCTTCACTTTGCTGCTTCTCAGCAGTTGTAGTGGCCAACGGGGGTGTGTTGCGTGGTCAGGTGACCCACTTAGGCTGGCATATTGCCCGCATCCACTGCAGCTGCGCACCACCTCCAGTCCAACAACAACAACAACAACACCAATACAGCATGTCAGCAACCTGTTGGCCTCCTTGCTGTGCAACATATTCCTCCTATTTCCACTAATAGCTACAGAATTATCAATAAACTCCGCAACATCCCGCCGTGCCAGAGCTAGCAAATACCGATATCCACAACACCATCCCAACATCCTCCCTTCCTATCCATATCTTATCACAGCATTGGGGTCGGTAACGGCTTCCTTCCATTCCTGCATGAAGACTTTATCGAGCGTCTAGTAGGTATAATATGTTAGCAGAGAGATTATCAATTAATTGATACATTTGAAATTAATACCTCTATTTAATCCCGGAGTGCGCATTTGAAGCAGATTGGGTGCTTGCATGTCTCATTCACACACGTTGAGGTACCTAAAGTATTGTATTGACCGCATTCGTGGCATTCCTAATTGAGGTAACCCATTGCTATGCAGGTTCATAAAGCAAGCTGGGTTGTGAAGTGTTGGTTGGCCAAGACGATTAGAGAGTTGGTAGCAGTATGAGGTGAGAGGTTTTGATCAAGACAATTGAAAAGCGGTAATACGAGTCGAGGGGGTGACTTGGTGGCCTTTATAATTAGTGAACAAGCAACCCTCGGATCGCATGCATGTTTTTAATCTCCCCAGTCGTCATTCCATTGGATCGTAAGGAGTGGTTGCCAAGTAATATTGCCAATTTTAGCACTGCATGATTATATGAACATTACCTGATGAGCCGTGGTAAATTTGACATTGTGGTTAGCGGATTAGCTGCCCGATTCTGAGGTCCTTGCTCCTGGAAACCCACTGTTGTCCGTGCAAAGTTATCTCTTTGAGGGAGCGTACGAGGGACAGTATCGCCACCGGAGGTGATGAAGGGGATCTCCACGTAACCAACACCTTGAGTAGTAACAAGGCCTCCCCCAGTGTTAAAGGGGACGAGATCAGGGTCCATTCCTAAGGCGATAGGGATTCTGGAGAGACACGGAGCGCGCAAACAGGCTTGTAAAAGCAGATGCTCGCAAGGCGATGTGGCCAGCTATAAGTGTCCATTTCTCTTACAGCGGTTACGCTCACGCTTAGTCCACTCTCTTCGATTGCGATGAACTAGTGGAACGACAGTGGCTTGAGTCTTGCAGTATCTTCGGTAACTTATATTCATGAATCTCTTGTTAGGGTTGGGGAATTTGTGTGTCTTTTTGGGCCGTAGCCACTAGAGTACATAAGGTAATACCTACGACACCGGCTCGACCACGAGGCAACGGCAAGGTTGAACAGGCAAATGGCGATATCAAGAGCCAGATGTATCGCGAATTCCAAGCCGATCCCATGGCGAAGCCATCTGTGCTGCTACAACGCGCCATCAACACCCTGAATCGAACCACCCGACCGTCTGGCTACAGCAGTCACTTCCTGATGTTCGGTACGCAACCCGCTAGCCACCTCGCAGCACACGAAGTGGTACAATACACCAGAGACCCCACAGAAGAAGAAGAACAGCAGGCTGAGCGATTTCTGGCACAGAATCACGAAGCACCGCTAGCCAGGGGTAATGCCAACCGCCTGAAAGCCTCTCGAGCCCAGATACGAGCGTATCTGCAGGAGAAAAAGGGCCTGATCCGTGTTTTTGCACCAGGAGACTGGGTACTGCGTGTGCGTCAACGCACAGCAAAACACGAACCCTTTTATGATGGTCCCTGGGCTATTGTGAGCTGCCACGCTGGCAACACGTACAAGGTACGCAGCCCAAGGGGCATTGAACTGCAAAACAAGTACAATGGCACCAATCTCTTCCCTGCTTACGTACACGATGGCCACCCCGTTCGTTCCTTATGGTACGCGAGCAAGACCATGCTGGAGAACTATAGAAAACAGCTCGAGAAGATGCTGTTGACTGACGAAGAAGCTCTTCTGGCTGCAGAAAACACCAGAAAAGCTCTCCAGGCGTGAAATTCGTGAATTTGGGAGAGTCGCGGACGACTCTCAACAGAGGGGGGGGGGTAATGTGGATCCATCCACTGGCATTCGGTGGACTCCACTGTATTCCAGTGGTTGTCCCATCAGCTGTATATATCTACATCCTGGACGGGACCCTCTCCCATCCTGGAAAAACAACAACCTTTCAGAAGACAGACCAATCACAACCAAGCCTTGTGATTGATCACCCTTCTGGAAGGCACTACCACGGAGGCACAATAGCACGCCCGAAGACGCACATCTGGAGATATTATATTATCACCAGTCTCTAGACTAGAAGCACTCACGTCGAACGGCGCCTCCGTACGAAGGCTCTCCTGCCTCGGACCCAGCGCTTCAATTCATTCCCATTTGCGCTGCCAACCTAATACGAGCTCACCTAAGACGCCTGAAATATGAGGTCATGGATTAAGCAAGGCCAGAAGGTATTCACGGAAGCTGCTGCGCATAGGACAAGAACCCGTGTCTATGTTAATCATTTGTCTGCTAAGACCAGTTTTTTAAATCCCAAGTCAGGAGAGCATTACTCCCTGTGGATGTGGCCATGCTGCATGCCACGTCAGTATGTTGACTGCATGTTATGGATCATAGCCACTCATGACCAATCATTCTCAGCCGTCTCTCGGCTTCTCTTACGTGACGCCGGTATTCCTTATTCTTAGGTCCCTCTGATGAAAGCAGCATCAGGATGACTCATGGACACGATATTACTAAAGGAGCGACAGCGACTGAATAACAGAGGGAGCCGTGCGACCGATCAACTGTACCACTGTGGCTCTTCTACACTGGGGCTCCTCGCCGTCACACTCGCCCACTAACCAACTCGAACTAAAAAGAGCGTGACCCCTGGGCCCCCTCCAGCGACCAGCTCTGTTCGTCTCCTGTCGTGCACATACTCATGTCAGGCGGGCATGATGACCTACACAGCCTCTACCACGACCGGCCGTTACAAGTTCCCCCCCTCTGTATCGGACGTTTCCCGCTCTTTGCTTGAATGTGGCTAATTTGGCTTGGTATGCGCCCCTACCTTGCTGGCGTTCAGAGGAGGATGACTCCCTTTCTGAAGACGAAGAAGAGGCTATGCAGGAGCCTAGGCACACCCGCTCGGGGCGAGCCATTCGGGCGCCGACTAGATACGTTGACTAAACAACCTCACCGCTATCGAATGATATATTTGCTGTAATTATCCGACGTCAATGGCTTCATTTACATGTGGGTGTATAAGGGGGTGTTTTTAGGCGACTACGTCCGCGACGCGCAAGGTCAGGACAGCCATCACGGACACTCCTTCTTGCACAACGCTGGTAACGACTCGAGCCGCGACGATGCAGTGCTTCCTATATTACACGTCTTACCATCGTTTCCAGGGACGATGATGGGAATGTCATCCCGCTTGCGCCTCCGAGAGTTCCGCACAAGCTGGCCAGGCCAACGAAGTGCTGGTCCGAAATGTCATCGGCCACTTGCTTAGTTGACCCAGCCCGCAGCCGTGGAGAATGCCGCCAAGTTCCGGCAGTCGACAACGACCGAGTCCTTTATTGCCATGAGAAGGCTTGGTCTTCTCAGGCAATTCCATAAGGAAGGTGGTTATAGGAGTATATGCAGAGACATTAAAGGGAGACGGGTGAAGTGGAGGCTTCAATAAAAGCATCAGCTTAAATGTTGGTATGTAGGAGTTGCAACGGATGCGACCTGTAGGACCACAATACTCACTACATTAAAAGAGTCTATCTTCATTGCCTTCGTTAGCCAAGATTAGTATACAGAAGAGTCATCTAACCTAAGTTCTGCGCTTGCCAAACCGTAGCCGCGAATGATCTTGTTAAGGTACGGAAGCATCCGGGCTATCCCAGAACGAGTCGCTACCACCAAGACCGACGCGTAGTCCCAAACAGGTGTGCTCTTGCCCTGAGGACTGGAACCCATAGGGGTTATCTATAACGCCTATGGTGCCTTCAAGGTGGAGATTTTAAAGCCGTAACCAAACCTCCTAAAGCGCTGTAGCGACAACGCTGACGGATACAAGGTGACTTTGAGAAAGGCGAGAAGGATAAGGATCGGAAGCAGCATCATGATACAAAATCCAATTGTAGTGAGTTGGGCAAGCAACAGTGCACTGGCTAATAAGTTACAGCACATTCCATGAATAGATACTATGTAGCACTACGTTTATAAAGAATGTGAGCAACTTGTGGATGTTAAATTAGGACATGCTGTTCTGGCGTACCTGTCTCGTCGGTGTATTCCAATCATGCCCCGGATTGTACGATTGGGTGTTCTTTCGTTTTCTCAAGGGATCGAAACCTCAGAACATTATTTTACTGAAAAAAAAGGAAAGAAAAGCTCTCGAGGTAGGCCCTACAACTGATCGATTGGATGTTGGTTGTTTAGTTGGTCGTTTTCGCCGTCCTAAAGCAGAATGTATATATACCTCGTGACTGTTTATTAAACGGGGCTTTTACCCTCTACAGAACCTATTAAAAGCAAATGGCAGATCCAGAAGAGGAGATTTGATTGTGTTGGAACAGGCTTGAACGATCAATCATAATACTCGAGTATGGGGTCAAGGTCATGATGTTGCTGATGGTTGGATTGGGAGGTCTAGCTGGACCTAAAGGTCTGGCTAAGTGACCTCGCAATCCGGTATCTAATCACTTATCTAATCATACATTTGGGTCTTGGTATAAACGGTTTGCAGGCTGGAATCGCATGGATCCAACACAATGACTAATTAAATACGTTATAAACAGTGTTAAGATACGGACTTAACAGTAACAGGTTAACACTGAGCATTTTGGAATCACAGAACCGTCATCAGGCTTGAGGTTGATCCCCCCGACACCCTGGATAGTGCTGCTTGCGGTCGTCTATCGTCGCCTGGCCGTATCCGGGACGGCCTACGCGTGAGAGCCAGAGCGTGGGTTATCAGTGAACTCTGCCCATAAAACTCGGGAGGAAGGCAAATCCGAGGACCCCTGGCTACGCACCTAGCACACCTTGGCCATACCATTCTGGGATGCAGCAACTCCGTCAACATCTTTTTCAATGGGTTCGCTAGGCCAGCGTATAAGGGGCATTTGCAGGCACATACTCTGCCATAAGCTGATCGATCCAAACAACGGCAAGAATCAGCAGCACAGCCAAGTCTGTTAATATCAATAAAGCCATGGGCATCATGATCAACAGTCTTACCCTTAAACGCAAGTAAAGGCCGACTCCGCCCTCTCCAACAAGATATGACTAGTGATATTGTCCTCAGGTTTGTCAACCGCTGTGAAGGCTGATGGCACCCTGCCCATCGTTCTGCCATGGAGTCAATCTTGAATCTCCAGGCTCTTCTCCTTTGCGGTGAGGCAACTTGTTCCGCTTCAAGGTACAGACTTGAGCTTGTAATTCTGGATCTTCCAAGGCTTGGGCCGTCTGCTCGACGAGATAGACGGAGACAGAACCCCAGCGGGGATGGTTCTGAGAAACCTGAATAAGAGGTTGAGTTCACAGATATTGGATACGAGGAGTTTGGCGAATTCAATGCTTTCATTCCTATCCCTGGAGCCACTCAGCAGCCAGAGCAACCTCAACCTGAACAGCCCATTCGACAAAAACAGTGAAACCACTCAGAGGGACACCACTGATGCCCCCGTCCCTGGGACACCTCCTGAGACACCTAGGAATCCCAAGTTCCCTGAAGCAGCTTTGGAATCCCTCACTGAAGATGAGGCTGAATTCGAGGACGCCATGAATCCTGATACTTAAGTGGAATTGCAGCATACGTGACCTCGTTGCCCATCACTTTGCCTCGATCATCCTAGTACGTAGCCACCGATTCTGCCACCCAGCTTCTTCCTGCGCGTGCCTCACACGGAGGTACGGCTGCGGCACTGTGCATGTTCTATGCTCTGGCGAAAGGGGACTTCGATGGGCGTATCTAATTGGTAGTACATCCTGGGGGCGCGGAATGTGCTGGCAGCCTGTCCCGTACTCCACCCCCCCGTCACGTACAAGGACCTCGGCCTGAAAAGGTGACCAGGTTGAGGACAAAGTACATGTAGTACCTATCAGACAGTGGGGGTGGCTCTACCCAGCATGACGCCCTTCAGCACTGCCTACCCATCTTAGGTAGGCAGGCTTCGCCTTCGACTGCCTTACCTGCGTCGTACCCAGGCTCACTGGCAGGTGGGCGCTCTACAGCCGGCCTTATTACCTGTCACCCCTCTGCCGTCAATCCTCTACCCGGCCTGCTTTCCCTCCACCACTATACTCTTCTCGTATGGCAGTTTCTCGACTCAGCTCGTCTTCTATCTATCGCTTCAAGACAAACACCCCCACCCATTCCCAGCATGCTCGACGAAGACGCTTTGGTGTTGGTGTATCTGATGGTTGATATCATCGACCTCATTAGCACCTGTGTCCTCGTCTATCTATGGCTTCATGATCCCATGCCCACCCTACCGGAATGCCACATGGAATTCAGACTCAACCGTATCATGGAGCATCTGGTCTTTTTAGTCTCTTTGATGATACCAGTTTTTTACATTCTGGGCTACTTCTTCGACAACGATCGGGCCCTTGAGGTATTGTTCGGCTCATTGTGTATCCCAATCTATGTCTTTAATCTCATTCGAACCTGGGCCGCTGTTCGTCTTTCACGTCGAATTGCCTGGTATTCCATACATGCAAATGTTGTCTTTTTCGCCCAGTCGATGATTATACTTGCCCTATACGCAAGACGACCCGACCCAACAGATCCGACAAACCCAGGTAAGTTGCTTCGTCATTGCCTCGCATCGGGCCAACCCAACCTCTACCTAATCTAATTGCCTGCAACATAGAGGTCACTAGCTACCTATCCACGGAACCGTTCCTCTGCTGTTCGCTCGCAATCGGCTAACCAAGAACCGCCACAACCACGGCCTACCGATCCCTACACCATTACAGAACTCCAGGCGCTCGAAGATATGCTCGTCCGGCTACGCATTTACATGGTCGAAACGCTCGAGGCGGTCGAGGCGCTCATAGCTACGTTCATGCAGCTCCGTATGGTCGAGGCAGAAACCGGTGGGGACGCTGAATAGGGCTCATTACGCACAGGAGACCAGTTTCATGACAAGGCAGAAGGCATGGGGATGGTGGTGACACATACCATTTGGGATTTGGGAGGCAGGATTTTCGTATTGTACATGTGGCGAACGGCGGCTCGTGTGGCAGGCTGGCCGGCCTTGGGAGGCGTTGTTGGCGACTGGCGTCGATACATCTTGAAGGTACGGAAGAGCGTACCACAGCCAGTGAGTAGATAGATCTTGTCGATGCCTCCCTGTTGCAAGCAGGTTCAGCCAGCCGACTCGATCTGCGAATCGACTGCCTGGGTTTTCCTGCCGGGTCGTTTCAATTCCCATTACGCGACAGAAATAATGCCCTCACTGGCATCTTCGTCAAATTGCACATTGCGCCTCAGAGCCCAATCTACTCTTCTTCGATTTGTATCGTCTCCAGGAGGGGTTTCAGGAGTAGCGATGTAGGTATCCATGGCGCAGCGAAGACTGCGGTTGTGAGATGGCTCACGAATAACCGGCCAATCTTCACCCAGATCACTCAAGCAGAGAAAGACTTATCACCAATCAGCCTTGCAACGTTCCTGGGCATCCACGCGACACTGCCGCAATACCAAGTCACTGGAGCGCACACAAGTGGCAACCCAGCGCAAGACCAGTACCTGGTGCGGTACTTTTTCTACGGGAAGCTGGCAGAGCCATCGATTCTCTCGCGGGTCCTTGAGAACCCTCTGAATGCAGCCAGAACCCGCCATATCGATAATCGCTGCAAGTGGATCATCAACCGAGTCCAGATGGAATACTTCACGATTGTTCAGGTGGGTACGAATGACATGATTGCAGACGGTTCAAGCATGGTGACACTACACCTCAACGAACAGACAGACGCGAAGATGCTCATTGGCTTATACTCTACGGACTCCAAGCCTGGCTCCTTCTCTTGGCGACCTGGCGTTCTTATTACTGCTGTCAGAGAAGGCAGATGGGTAATAATCGAGGACTTTGACAGAGCTCCGAACGAGGTCATGAGCACTTTACTTCCCCTAATGGAATAAGGCAAGCTCCTGATACCTAGTAGAGGAGAGACTGTTGAAGCACCAAGCACGTTTCGACTCTTTACGACAGTGCGGACCACACGAGGAATGCATGGTCAGGAGAGTGTACCCAACCTACTAGGCCAACGCTTCTGGCACCTATCAAGCACGATGATCCCAAATTACTCCGAACTGGAACAGATCATTCTCGCAACTTACTCTGTTTTGTAAAAATACACCCCAATGATCATGTCTGTTTACGAGCGGCTATACAATATATCAACCATCTCATCTTCAGGACGAAGCACTGTGGAACGCCCGATCACCCCTATAGATCTGTTGAAATGGTGCCGTCGTCTCAAGGAGCAGCCACATGCACCTGGTTGCACGGCAGGTGATGAACTGAACAGCGACACTGCACGGAATTGGATGTTCATGGGGGCCGTGACTGCTTCTGTGGCAGTTTCGCGAGTCAGGCTACCAAAGACGCCGTGGTGAGCTGCATCGCTGAGGAAATGCACCTACCCAGGCAGATCGTTGAGCATGACCTCAAAGTCCATGTACCACACATGGAGGAGAGACCGAGAAACGTCAAGATCGGAAGGATTGTGCTGACTAGACGGCGGTATGCGAGTAGAGTGACGAAGTCAAAGAAATCATTCGCAAGCACCGGCCACGCGAGAAGACTGCTCGAGCAGATCGCTGTGGCTGTCAGGCTACGCGAGCCCGTGCTCCTCGTGGGCGAGACGGTATAGGCAAGACGACAGTTGTTCAGCAATTAGCCGAAAGTCTTGGTCACAAGCTTGTCGCTGTGAATCTATCACAGCAGAGCGAAGTCAGCGATCTACTCCGTGGATTCAAACCTGTCAATTCACGCAGTCTTGCTGTGCCCTTGAAGAAGGAATTTGAAGATATGTTCGCTTCCACTGGTATATCCACGGCTAAGAACCAGAGGTACCAGGAACAGATCGGCAAATGCACCGCGAAAGGCCAATGGGCGAGGGTCTCGAAGCTCTGGCGGGAAGCACCGAAATGTTCGATGAGATAGTACCATCCCCCCCATAGAAGTCGTACACCCCCACTAGTCGTACAGCCAAACCCCACCATCACCACCAAAACGCTCCCTTATTCACTTATACACCAATGAAGCCATTTAGGTGAGAGAAATACAGCAAAATTGTCATTCGAAAGCGCTGAAGCTGCTTATGCGTAATATTTAGCCGGCGCCCGAACGGCTCGCCCGGATCGCGACAAGCGAGGCTCCTGTATAGCCTCCAAAACGTCCTTATCAAGGGGGTCATCTTCATCTTCTTCTTTGTCCTCCGACTCAACAACTATCTCTTCCTGTACTTCTACGCGTGCAGCAGGGCCAATGGTACCTCCATGAGATAGTATCTCCGTCACCGTTTTAAACTTCCCATTAGGATTAGGGATCTTCTGCCGCTTCTTTGGCCGCAGCCGCTCTAACTCAGCCTCTAGAGCCTTGATCTTCCGATCTTTTATAACAACTTCGGTCTCCTTGGCTTCGAACGCGTTAGCTATCTTCCAGTACTTCAGCCTGGTCCCTGGGGACTTATTTTTGCCAAAATTCATGATTAGGCGGCTCGTAGTAGGCGTCCGTTGGTCCTCTGGTTCAGAGCTGTCAGTGGTATCAGGCTCGGGGGTCTTTCTCTTCTCTTCTTGTATCTCTGGGTGCTTTAAGCACTTCCTGCGGCTGATAGGATAACATCCAATGACCTTAAAGCCGGAGTGGATGTTTTGCTTCGTAAAGGCAGCAGTTCTGGCCTTGCTATAGCACCGGATGAAGTTGATCTTGTCAACAGGCGAGGCATCCGTCAAGGAATTCAGCTCAGAGAGGAATTTCTGATAGTAGGCCTTCAGGGCGTTATAAGGCCCGTTATCCAGGGGTTGCATGCCGTGACTAGTATGCGCAGGGAAGAAACAGAGCGATATGTTGCTAAAATAACACATGGTCATGAATTCGTCCTATTAACACGCGTTAGACCATATTAAATCGGGAAATTTTTAAAGGAAATCTAAATAAAACAAAGAAAAATCATAGACGTACGGAAGTGTGGCTCTTATGCCCATCCAGTATCAAAAGGATCGCCTCGGACTGGTCTCCTCCTCGTACCTCGTCCGCCTGTGGGAGGAAAACATCTTCTAGCCACTTGCAGGCGATGTTATTCGAAGTCCAGCTGTTTTCTGAACATATGTAATGCCAATCGGCGGTCTTTCGGAACTCTTCAATAAACCACTGGGCTTGGAGGTCCTTCCCCTTGAAGATAATGCCTGGTTTGAAGGTTTTTCCAGTTGCGGAAATGGTCTCAATAAAGGAGGTCCAGCTACGGCCCTAAGGGCTCTTTAGGAAGGCCTTCTTAGTAGCAGAACTACCTAATACGAGAGAGTCGATGCCTATGAATTTAATTAGTTTTTTTTTTTAGAATTAAAGGAATAAATAAAGCTACCAAAACCTGACATGATGCCGCCTTTATCGACATTGTAGGTGTTCTTTGGCTTCACCCAGCCGTAGTCTTTAAGAATTTCAAAGAACCAGTTAACTGACTTGGGCGTAAAGCCCTTGAAGCGTGCTGCTTCCATCCTTTTGCCAATCTTGGTCTTGATCTGGGGGTTGCGGCGCTTGAAGGCTGCCATGAAGGTGTCTCCTAGGGGGGCCTCATCCCCCTTTTCTTTTAACACCTTCTTGATGATCTCACGGACCAGGGAGTGCGAAGGGGCTAGGCCCAGCTTTTCTTGCAGTAGAATCCACTTGGTTATAGTCGTTTCCTGCACAGGAGAGAGTCTTTGTTGCTGTATATGGGCTTTGGATCTCGTAGGCCTGCCGTTGAGTCGATTAGACAGCGTCATGGCCGGAATGCCGTATTTTTGAGCGCTTTTTCGCAGAGAGAGGCCCTCATCCGTGATATTTAAGATGGCATCCGCCATCTGATCCTCCGTATACGGTTTGGGAGGCATTTTGGGCGGCTATACGATGCTATGGTGCATATAGAACAAGGCTTCAGACGAGGCTCAAGCACCAGAAAATCTCTATTCGAGGTAAGAAACGCGGGATAATTAACAGCTGATTACGTAAGTCTTGCGGGGTAAATCTTGCATCGGGAGAAACCCCAAGATCAGGGCTATCTAGAGCACTAGTTACATTCTGAATAACTTCAAAACCGGGCTGAAAGCGTATAAGTAAACATGTGGGTGTTTAGGTGGTGATGGTGGGGTTTGGCTGTACGACTAGTGGGGGTGTACGACTTCTATGGGGGGGATGGTATTGATGAGAATATCAAGACTAGAGAGGAAAGGAAGAGAGAGAGAGAGATAGGTACAGTGGGAGGTTGCCCCTTTAAGGGGATCCTCTGGTCAGATCCTTCCCCTATTGGGAAGTATCCGCTTGTCATGTGGGAAGGTCTGTACAGGCCGTCACAGTGGGTCTGGTTTTCCCGACCTTTTGGTGAGAGCAAGGCATGGTCAGATTTCAAAGCACCGCCAAACGCTTAAGAAAAAAGCAATAATTAATTACTCAATCGCCAAGAAGACATTAAGAAAAAACGATTCAAAGGCAATAGGGACAGTATTTACAGCTTCATTCCTCGTGGAGATATGTATAAGTGAACATTGTGATGTTGGGTGTAAAAACTGTCCCACTTGGGGGCTCCCGCCGTTAACATCCAGCTGGTCGACGCTAGACATGGTGCTGCGAGCTGCATGTTGCAGGCTGATGGGCTGATGGACAGGGCGGACGAGGCTGTCGGAAGTCACGATATTAAGAATGTGTTGGAGGCAGCCTTAACATTGAACCAGACCCGTCAGCCTCAATCACAGTCACAGCCACAGTCACAGCCACAGCCTCAGTCACAGCCCCAACCTCACAGCAAGGCTAAAAGCCCGATCTGCAGGTGGCGCCCGCCCGGCACGGCCCGACCCGAGTGGATGCCCCCATCAATCTCCCCCCACCACTTTTACTTTCCCCCCACCTCCAACTCCAAACCTCACTTCTCACTCTTCACCTCCACAACACCACAACACTCTACTTTCTTCCTCTTCCCTTCCGCGATCGTCGAACCGCAGCGCCGTGCAAAAGCCATCGGAGCATTTACGTCCCCCTCCTCCGGGAGTCACACACCTTTTGGTGTAATTTGAGCGGCCCCCAAGTCCATTGACTATACGGGGTAAGAGGGACTACCTTTGCACGCCCAGCAGCACACGCGCGCGTAGTAGACGCTGAGGACTGGTTGAGTAAGATCTGGGGAGTTCTGATGCCCTGTTCAAGTTGCCGGCGAATTGTCTTTGACGAGAGAGCCCGCGATACGAGGTTGACGAGCGAGCCTGTCTGTCGTCTTTGCGAGTTCTGACGCTCTGTTCAAATTGCCGGTGAATCGTTTCCAACGAGAGAACCCGCGAGACGGAGCTGAGGAGCTAGCATCCTCTCTCCTCTCCTCTCCTCTCCTTTCTTTACTTACCCTTCATACCGCAGACGCTGCGCTACAATGGTGCCGGAACGGCTTCCTGCTCTCTCGCTTTGCCGCAAGACATCCTGTCTTGGACGCTGCGCGTTTTGTGTGTGGTTAGGTGCTACTATCGCCTCTACCTCCCCCTTACTCTGCACTGAAGGCTCGTCGTCGTCCTTTCGGTGCACTCTATTCTGAGGCGATAACTGTTGTTGATATCGTGGCCTTGCATTTGGCGGCTTTGGCTTCTGCGTTAGCACCGCGGTCTTGGGTCTGGGGGCTTTTGATCACCGCGACCTGTGGTTCTGAGGGCTTTGGTCATGTCCACGTCTGGCTGGCAATCCAGCGTGGACTGTTCGTCCAAGGGACCTCTCCGCACTGACACCACTGTTTTAGACAAACGCACTGGCACCGCGGTTTTGGGTCTGGGGGCTTTTGATCTCCGTGCTGGCATCACGGCTTGAAACTGGGGGCTTTGATCATCGCGGTTTGGATCTGGGAGACTGTGCGACTTGTGGTTCTGAGGGCTTTGATCTTGTCCACGTCTGCCTGGCAACCAGCGTGGACTATTCATTCGAGGTTCCTCTCCGCATTGGTATCGCGGTCTTGGGTCTGGGGCTTTGGTTTCGCGCTGGCATCGTGGTTTTTGCATTTGGCGGACTGTGATCACCGGTTCTGAGGGTTTTGATTTTGTCCATGTCTGGCTGGCAACAAGCGAGGGACATTCGTCTGAGGGACACATTTCCGCTCCTGCTTTCTCTACCTTGTACTCGTCGGACTGCCACCTGTTGTGCTAGTCGCGCTTCCATGGTCGTCGTGGTTACTCACGAGATCCGAGGTCTCGCACCACGCATGCAGGTCTACCGCTGCCCACCATCATCTCCCTCATCCTCTGCTACCGGCTTTAACTAACAATGAGATTCCAGAAGCCAAACCCGCCGTCGATCTCCGTGGTCAGCATGAATCCCTTGACGTGGAAATCTTGCACACGCGTGCTACAGCACGCCGATCTCCCCACGATCGACGTATAACACACAGCGGAGTGCTAGATCACTCCAGACCGACATTCAAGCCTTCACACGTTGAAGCCAACTCCCCCCTTACCCCTATTTTTGAATTTCCCGATCGGGCCCGCGGAAGCCATGCCAAAAATTCGGATTCGGGCCACTTACCAGGGTGCTATCTTACAGCAGCCGAAGGTCAGCCTGTCATCCGAATAATAGCCGATAGCAATCACCAGAGGGTGGGCTGACGGAAGGACGAGACAAGAGGGGGATGGCATTGACGAGTTTTGGTATGGACGCTGTTGGGCCAGCACGATGATAGCGCTGACGACAAAGACGACCGACAGTGTCGAGGACCGGGATGGATGACAGAAAACAAGGGAGGAAGCTGACGGACGGACCATGGTGAGTGTAATTCGCATCGTCTCCATCGTCAGCCCGTGCGTGCATAGCCTCGAGGCGACAGCCATGATCAAGTCGAAAGCGTATCGAAACACGTTGGACCATTTTCCCCTGTTTACTTTCCATTAGAACGGACAGCTCATCACCCCACCGACAGCCCTCCTTTGCGACATGCCCGATCCGGCTTTCTCTCTGCCTCAAGTGTGCAGTCTGGGAATGCATGAAAGCAGGTCGGAATGTATCCTCCAGGCCTATAGGACTCGTGTCATGATCGCTGTGGTTTTCGCACTCGAGAGGTGCCGTTCCGGTGGTTACGCCGGAGACTTACAACTCGTCGGAGGGCCTTGGTATCGCTTTCGTTTTTTTGCGTGATGCTTCGGATTGGCATAGGAGAGTTATAGACGGTGTAATTGGGACTGATTTGGCCCGCTATTAAGAACCAGTTTAACGTGGACGTTGGAACCGTCTTGGGCAACCACGCCCTCCCAAGGCAGCAAAGGTCACTAACGCCAACAACACTATCACCGTCCAGGCTTACCCGTCTGTCATGTCGAGCACAAGCCTGGCTTGAGCTGGTAATCAGGACGATATAAATGAGATACTCCTTGGCAACCGTCGTCCCGCACTCGCAGGGTTATCCCAGCGAGCCATCGACAGGCTGTAACTATCCGCCCGGGGCCGACAGAACACTACCTTCGATAGGTATGGGAGCTGGTAGACATCTCGGCATCTTTGCTTTGTGGGATAGGATAAGGTCGTCCCTAGTTGTTCAAGTCTTGGTCCTACAGTCAAGGCGTACTGTCGAGACCAGAAGTAGACGTTTGTTCTTCGCGCCGGCAGTATCGCCACGCACGACGAGTCGGAGACCGAGGGGAACCACCGCTTACATATCAGCATGGTGGACGAGGGCGCCAACGTGCGACGCTGTGTTGCTGATGCCACTGCTCACCCCGGTGCCTGAACAGTTGATAAGTCTACAGTTAAAAAAATAGAGAGCAGGAACCGAGCAACCTAGCCAGAACCTGAGGAAGACTACCTGGAAGAGAAGAGACTGCTTCTCGACGCAGGCGACGTTCTCGACGGCCGTCATACCGAACCTGTTGCCCTCTGTCACGAAGAAGCGGCGCCCGACTGCGTACGTCTAGAGCAGAGCTTCGTACTGTCCGCCCCTGCCGCACTGCTGGAGCAGGGCTTGGACTTCCGGGCTCGCCGCGATGCGGGCCTGGATCTCTGGAGAGCGAAGCTGCTCGGCACCGCAATCTAGGATCTTCAAGACGCGCTCCTGCGCAAGCAGGCTCCGAAACTCCAGACCTAGCTCGGCGGGTGCCCGTGCATTGTCCTGCAGCGTCGACCCTTGTCTCCAGATATTGAGGATGAGTGTCCGCCAGAACCTCTCGTCTCTGCCCTCATAGGTCTCAGACGCGGGGGCTGGGAGTTTCCGGAACTCGTCGTAGCAGAGGTGCATGTAGTTGCCGGTATCGAAGACGGGAGACACGTGAGCCACGCGGCCGATAGCGCACGCCTGGACGTGGAGTGCATTGTCGTCGGAGGTGGTGAGCGGCTTGGTTTTGGCGCCGAAGGTATCCGACCACCTGCGCAGCCCGTTAATTGGGTTGGAAGCAGAGTCCACTGCGGGCTTGCTCTCGAAGTCTGGAGCCCAGCTGGGCAGGTCCTTGAGCCGTTAAGCGCAAGGAACGCGCTCGCCATACCACAGGAGAAGGTCCTGACTCTCGAGGATAGTGTACCTCGCTGCTTCCGTGAAGACCTCGGTGGCGCTCTTGGTGTAATCGACGGCCGGCAATGGCTGAGCGCCTCTGTTGTGGTTTATTCAAGCGATCATGCGGCGCATACTCCACGTCAAGCAGACTGCACCTGCCAACGTAGTAGGAATTGCACTCTGAGATGCAACCACCGACCATACCATCATGTACGACATGCCAGCCCTCGTCAGGCTCTAGGCGTGCTCCGATACAAAGCCCGAGGTATTCACTCTCATTCGACGTTGCCCTAGTTCATCCCACGCAAAACGCCATATGATACGAGCCGACTTGTTCGCATGTGAACTGGGTCCCAGGCACCTCGTGGAAGGTACGTCCCTGCCTCCATTGCACGCCATCAGGCTGGCTTTTACTAACCACTCTAATACGTACAGTCGCGTCCAAACCACCAATGACTTCAAGTATTCGACATTACTTCCTTGAAAAGCGAGACGATTGACGATCAAGAGATGAACGGAACAAGCCAAGGAGACTCGACACCAGAGGTTGTCGGGGTGGAGCAGACCCATCAACAGTCGCCAGTTATACCACAAAGGCGCAGGTTCAACCAATACCGATTGAAACAGAGAAAAGACGGTTCGAACCGGACACGGTGTGCCGACTGCGGCACGGATGTGGACGCATATCACTTCAAGCGACACTGCGAGTCAAACCGCCACCAAGAAGCAATAGCCAGTCGACGAGAACAAGGCAGAGATGATATACCACCGGGAACAGATACCAATGTGCCCTTACCGAATGCGTTAGACTGCTTCCTCTCGAAATCAGGGGATGCGACATCGCCGTTGGCCGGTCTTGCGGCTGCATACAAGGAGGAACTCGATCGTGCAGGAGGTACATCAAGGCTGGAAATCAATCGTGATGCACCGCTGTGGCGCGGGTTGGGGTTGTACCCGCCATTGTTGCTGCCGGTGGATGGTTGTTGGCGGATACGACCGGCCTCGCGGGAACAGTTCTTAGCGGAGCTGTTGCATGACTTTGACCTCGACAGAACAGTGGTCTACAAGAGAGGGAGCAATGACAGAACGTGTGCCAGCTCCAACTTCTGCCACGTATTAACGCAACTCGAGAAGCCGGACGAAACTAACACATACTACGCGATCAATATGAAGGCAAGATCGGTAGAGATACAGCTGCCAGAACAGCTCCAAGCCAAGTACAATATCAGTACGCTCTCGGCTACGACGACAACGAACGTGACACCAAAGTTTGCAGCTGCCGACTTACACGTCGATCACGGGAGACACGGAGTGACGGGAGTAGAAGGCGGCTGCGTGAAGCTATGGGCGCTATACCCGCCTACCGACCAGAACCTGACAGAGCTGGAGAAGCAATACGATTGTGCTTGTTTGTTTTTGGGGTTGCAGGGACAGCTTGAAGGGGGAGAATTCTGTGTGCAGACGGAAAGGGAGGTTATCTACCTGCCATCCGGATGCCTACACGCAACAATCACGCTCGAAGGGGGACTCACGCCAGGGTTCGAGTTCACGTCGCCGGACTGCCTGCGAGCTACGGCCGCAATGTGGGATATCACTACCAGAGGTGGCCAATCCACGAAGGAAGACTCCGTGCCGCTTTTAGAATGCATAATGGCGTGTTTAGAAGCCGGCACAGACACGGGGAGGGATAGAAAGGAAAGAGCAGCGAGCATGAAAATAGAGGCAGAAAGCGTACTATGTACACAATACGCAAAACTGGCTCGGAAAAAACACAACATACTCAACCGCATCAAGAGGTTACTCGATAGAACTATATGCCACCATTACAGTGTGGCATGGAAGGACCACAAGTAGTAGATACGGTAACCGATACAACAGAGAGGCATGGAAGGTTAAAATGGGAAGGTGTGAGAATTGTGGTGGCTTTGGTGGTCAAAGGGGTCAATGGAAGCAGCTGGATGAAGGAGCTTTGTTAGATGCTCTAAGGATAGGCCCTGCTTTGTGGTTTAAGTGTGGATTTAGTACCGAATCAGGCCTTCTGACCCATAGCCAGAACAAGCAAGTAACTAGGGAATCTACCCTTATTCCGCACCGATACAGGATTCCCGACAGAAGGTAATAAACATAAAAAAGTGATACTTAAAAAGATACGTGTAAGAATCAGTAAACTACGTAGATAGGGGCAATGATTAGGGCGTATTATGTGCATTTCGGAAGCCTCGCTATGGTTTCAAGCTTTCTAGCTTTTGATCTCCCATTTAATAGGTGGTTACTTTAATACACTTAGTGCTACGGTTTCTTTTCGTGACCCTAGGCGCCTTGTTCGTCGTTTTTTCTTGTAGTAAGTCAAGGTTTTGAGACTTTTCTTCAAATCCATCTGCCAGCTGTTATCTAGCTGCCGGACGGTAGCACTTGTAAGGAAAGCTGCAGCTGATAGCAGTGTAGCGCCAGCGCTGCTCCCCCTGCTCCCCACTGCTCCCCACTGCTCCCCACTGCTCCCCACTGCTCCCCACTGCTCCCCCGCAGCTGTTATTAAGTTAAAACACATAATTTTCCCAACCGTTTTATTATGCAGACCCAAGGCAGAAGATTTTAATTTTGGTACGTATGTGGCTCCTCAACCCACTCTCCAGCCACAATGACGGATGGGTCACGGACCAGGATACAAGGTACCTTGGAGCCCAACGGGTACCCGTTTGTACCTGATTTGTACCCAACTGGGATGATAGCTACTTCCGGGATGGGGACACCACCCATCCCTTCTTGAAATCAAGACCAATAGCCACCTATCGTGACCCTGGTCCTTATTCTGGATACCGCTACCACAAGGCACACGTATACCCGTCCGCCAACCTTTGCGCGACCCGTTCAATAAATGCAGCGCAGCAACGCTCTTGTTTGTTTCGCCGGGAGGTGTGGTCTGTTTCCGCCAGCCTTCTTCCCTTCTTGCTTCAGTTCCGGATGGAGGAGGAAGCAAGAGTCGTCACCACCTGTGTGGTCCTTGCCGCAGGCTTGGTGGAAAGGCAGACCTGGCGCGTGAGGTGGTTCCGTTAGGATCGGTCTTGGGAAATCCGGTGTGAGTTCATACGTCCTTTGGAGCCGTGTCCTTGCGGTTGTCCTGACCAGACTCCTCAGGCCTCTGCTCACGGTAGGGTTCCGGGCTGTAACACATTGGATTAGCGGATGCATTCGTAGTCGGTAGTCCGAATAGAGTGAGTCGCGGTCCTTGAGTGGGAAAACATCTTGGGCTCGATGATGCGGCGATGCGTTGAAGAAGCGGTATGGCGCGACGGAAGTAGGCACGGCAGAGGGACAGTATCTACGGCAAGAGTGCAATGTTAACAATAACAATGACAACCACAACGACAATGGCAGCGGCGATGGCAATGACAAGGGGCTAGTCAATACGGGAGAGCGGCGTGATGGCTGCCGTGGAGACCCTGGAGAGGGGCCGTGCTGAAGCCGCGTCAGAGGCTTTGATGCCAGATCGAGGAGATGGTCGGGTGAGAGATTGATAGTAGGCATCAGAGCGACGTCAAGAAAATGGTCGATCATGAGGCCCATGTTGGATTGTATGGTGCTGAGAGTGGCATCGTACACTACGTGTTACGGCATTACGTAATACCTCCACATATTTATGTACATATATACCCCTAGCTTCCCCGTTCTCTTCCGACCTTGCCTCTTCTTCCTTAGATATTGTTGAATCTAGATAGTTCATACCATCAGCCCTGACCAGCGCAGCTGCAGGCCCGATTGTCACACTACGGGCTTGATGATCAACAGAGTCCAGCTGCAGGTCGTGATGCAGGTCGTGGTGTGGGTTGTGATGAAGGTCGTCATGGAGCCCGTGATGGAGACCGTGAGATTTAGACAAGGACTGGGATGCTGAATAATAGCCGGTCGTCCAGTACGCCCAGCGTAATCAGCGTTCGATGCATCCAACTGGCAACGCACCTTCACAAGTCCATCATGTGCAAGAGCGGCATCACCCACCGACAGGCCAGACACAAAGGAGATGGACAACATACTGCTCAAGGAGACACAAGCAAGCCATATACAGTGTCTTGATATTCTCATCCACGAAGTAATAGCTGCTTGCTGCCGGCCATGCCCAAGCTTCTCATCACGCTCGCAGTGACATCCGCTTACCCTTATATGGTCGTTATCAACACAAAGCCATTATCAACTGCCTCCTGATATGCAACGGTATGAGAAGCTTTGCAAGGGTTCCCTATAATTGCCCATTCTCCCTTCATTCGTTGATGGTTTCGTTCCGGCTGTAATTTGATGAAGTTGACTAGTGGGAGGGCCTGGAATTCATAATTATGAAATACTTATGTTGACCGTTTCCGGCTCTCATTATACCGTGGGGACGGGGGAGTAAATCTAAGAGTTGTCGCTGACAGGCAGTATCATTCAGCTCGGCTAGCATGGAGGCCTTACTCTTAGGACGACGGACTCGTGGCTTTATGAAGCATCTAGGATGTGTCTTCTTCTTCTTATACTTGTCCCACTTTAGTGATCGTGCCTGACTTCTCAGGTCTCTATCTTGGTTGAAGTTCATGGTGGCTGCAAGACCACACCACTAATCTGGTCTTATATAGTACTTTCTGTCCGGGTTTGCGAGTTAGTCCGAGAGCTAAATTCAGGTTACATTAGTAACCACTTTGACCAACGGTCTTTTCTAGTCTTATCTGTTCGGTAGATTGATTTGTCATCAGCCCTAATTAGGGCATGTCCCAGCTACTCAGTACGCTCGCTATGACGAGGTAGTGTCAATGTTTCAGCCTGCAGTTGGCCCACAGTGAGCTGGCTAGACTGCGCCTGCTTGTGTAGATCAGGAGATCAGCATATCCACAACTGGCTCAAAAGCCATAATTTAATTTGGCCTCTGAGCAGCGTGAATGGCGACGCTTCAGTTCGGGCTGAAGGAGTCGTCCATCTGGATACTTCCATAATGTACAGGCTGCTTGTTTTTGTAACAGACACCCAAGTCTAGAGCAACTCAGCCACTCTAGCCCCTCTCTTTAGGCCCCAAACCTAACCGTACTGGAGTCGCATTAAACACTCAACCTTGGAACACCCCGTGTCCGTTCGCCGTGCGCGCTCACCGAAACGCCTGAATGACACTCCCTCCACAGCCTCGTAAGCAGCTTTGTCCCCGCTACGCTACCCCTTCCATCATTCTGCCCAGTCCTACGTTACTGCCGTTTTTCTATATGTCACTTTGCTGTCTATCCAGGTCATATCCGTTGCAACTCCTACATATCCACATTTAAGCTGATGCTTCTATTAAAACCTCTGCTTCGCCCGTTTCCCTTCAGTGTCTCTACATATACTCCTATAACCACCCTATAACCACCTTTCTTATGGACTTGTCCAAGAAGACCAAACCTTCTCATGGCAATAACGGTGGCGGAGGCGCACCTGTTGTTCGACAAGTTGATGACGTGAACGCTGGTCTCTTCTGCCCAGGGCCAGAGGAATTCCGGTAGTTTAGCCTCAATCAAGGCACAGCGGGCTGGCGTCATGATCAGGTCTCCAGTCTTCTCTCTGCGGCCATTCTGTTGAGGTGTATTTAGCAACCAGGTGGCATCTCGTGAGTGGTGGCCGCCTCTACAAAGACAACAAACTAGCATCCCCTCACAAAGAGCATAGTGCCTCAGTATATTTAACCCGTTAAAACGCATTATATGAGGACTATGCAACACAGTCAAAGGACTTCCAGTAAAGTCAACCAAGAGGGCTGTGAAAGCTTGTGTTATTCCTATTCTTACACATGGCCTGGAGGCCTGGTACCCAGGAATCGAGAAAGTTGGGAGCTTAGGTGAGACATCAGCATGTCGCATTAAGGGGCTTCTTAGAACAATAGATGCCGTACTACGAACGGCGATCAGGGCTATCTTGCCAGTCTGGAAAACACACTCTGGACATATCCTATACTTCGAATCGTAGATTCCCCCAGCAGGAGTTCTTGCAGAGTCAATAAGACGACGTCACGGCCTCTGACTAGGACAAATAAACCAAAGACACCCTCTTGTTACCAGGCTCTAAATACAAGCTCGCAAGGATCCAACAAGGCTATAAAGGAGCTTCCAGCTAGTCCCTGACTTCCAGAGACCAATACTTACCAGGCCATTATGAAAGAAGCCCCCAATCCGTAAAGATAAAGACAAAGAAATAGAGCTTTTTAAGCAATGGCTATAAGAGAGAAACGTGAACACTGACCTTGTCATCTACTCAGATAGATCACAATTGGATGACCAAGGCACAACCCGCACTGGATGGGGTTATAATTAGGAAAGGCGGCACTACACAAGAAGTATACCGGGGAAAGGGCAGACTTCTCTAAACAAAAATAGTAGATGCTGAAGTCCATGGTGCTCTCCAAGGTCTTGCAGCAGCCAGGGCAATTGGACACGGAAAACAGCTATATGTCTGCCTGGACAACACGTCAGTGGTAGATGGGCTTAATGGGACTCCACCCGAGACATCACAGAACATTTTTCTACGATTTCAAGAACTTGCCACAGCACACACTCCTGGAGTGACCGTCAAGTGGATTGCTGGACACAGAGATATTGATGGCAATAAAGCTGCCAATATACTAACAAAAGAAGGTACTATATTAGAAACAGACATAACAAATCTTTCTATAATCTCTTAGGTCAAGTAAGATCTCAAAAGAAAGGGCAAGAAAGAGTTCAATTAATGGTAAAAAGACTAATTAGAACTTAAATATTAAAAAGTATATTCATATACAGTAATTAAAAAAGACCTTATATCTTTTAAGAGGAGTACTTTATACAGACTTCTAGCGGCCAGATCTGGACATGGCGACTTTGCCAGAT